TAGACCTGGGTAGGTGACATATGGCGGTAGACCTCACGTTATAGTAGCACCCAAATAACTATTTGACTAACTTACACATAATACTCCAAACTTCTGTTGTACTGTTTAGTGTTTGTGGACATTCAACACTGAAATTTAAGTGCTGACAATGATTTAAAAAAAAAGTAGAGAATTTTTATAAAGTTAGACACCAACCTTAGCAGTTTGAACCTTGTGTTCAGGCTACAAAAAAGAAAAAAAAATAGAAATATGAAATAACTATTTGACTAAATTACACATAATACTTCAAACTTCTGTTGTACTGTTTGGTGTGTAAAAATATTTACTATTTGAATTTATGACCGAACAATGATTAAAAAAATAGACCTAGAAATTTAGTGATGTTAAGCACCAGCCCTGCCATTTCGCATCTTACATGTTTTAAAATAAGCTTACTCTACAAAGTCATATACCTAGCACTAAGTTACATGGCAATATGGGGTTGGTGATATCCAAATTCATCTTCTATTGCTAAATAATTTTCATTGCTGGTTTAATTTTAGGATTTAAATTAATCTTAACTAGTTCAACTTCACAATATCGTGTACTACATAAGTGACTACTGCCTGATGGCTTGGGTAGTGCAAATACAAATGGCAAATTGCAGTATTACTGTAAGTTTAAATAACAGTGTGACTCATAAGAATCTTACTTTCCTTAAACTACAAATTACATAATTGATATTACTATCATAGTTTCATCCTTACAAGTGAAACCATGGTAGCAAAATATTTTTAATATGTACAATTGTCTTTGTTTTGCTCAATTCTACATCATATTTCATTGCATGATTTTCCAAAACATCTTTTATCAGACTCTAAAATATTTTCAACTACATAAGTAATAACAACTGACCTATAACTTCTAAAGCAAATCTTATTACTTCTTTCTACATAAGAGTAACATTAGCATATGACCAAGCTGCCTAAGGCTAACTTCACAAAAAACGTAAGCATATTCTCGTATCCTCAGTCACCTTCTCACTGTTCGTTGGCCTACCAAATATGAGAGAGAGAGAGGCTCAATATCTGATCTTTGGCTTCCTCTAAACCCCTGGGAAAAATCTCATCTGCTCCTTGTGCTTTATTTTTAATCTCACTCTCTCTTTTTACCACTATGGGATTATTATCTACATGATTCATTTTAATCTCAATATTTTCTATAAAATGCTCAGGGTCACAAATATTTCCAACATCCTCACTCATAAAAAACATAAGAAATCATTTAAAACCTCAGACATCTCATAGTCTTCAACATAATCATTGCTATTAGAATCCTCTGGAGGTCCATAATGAGCTAGCTGTTTGTGATAATCCCTATATTATTTCTTAATTTGTTTTCCTTAACTAAATCTCCAGCAACCATTAACTAGCTTTTCAGCTCATTATCCCAATTTACTTTTTGTTGTAGTATCAAAATTGGTTTTTCTAAAAATCAAAAACTAAAATTAATTTCTTTGTAGTTAACAAAATATCAAATCTAATTATATAATAGTGACTCTTCCCCACTCAACTGCAACTACATTCTCATTAGCAGTGAACAACTCTTAACATTTCATCCCCTCTGGTTAACTCTCTGATCACTTAATATGGTAGTAACCCATACAGACCATAACATCTTGACTACCACTTTTCTGTCTCCATTCCAAATGTTATTACATTTATAACCTGGAATTTCAAAATAACAGTTATCAATATTCTCCAAATCTAACTAAGTTTCAGTAATTCCCATTATATCATAGTATTCCACTTTAACTTGAGCCCTGCACTCATTCACTTTATTCCTGATACTTCTATCATTAAAATAACAGAAACTAAGCTTGTCTTTAAATATGACAGAATTATCTTTAAAACTATTATTTAACTTTTATCTAACTCTGCCAATCTCCTCATTGTCCTATTAATTTCTTCATACCTACTTTCCCAAGCTTCTTTATTTCTAAGTAAGTTTAAATCGCCTTTAATGAATTTACTTAGAAGTTCCACAAAAATCTTGCTATCTAACCTACCCATATCATACAATTCACTCTTACCTAAAATTTATCCAACAGACCCAACCAGCCCACCTGTTGCTCAAAGCATATCCTTCATAATAGTTCATTTTAAGCAGTGTGTCATGCAAAGTAATTGATTCTTGCATCTAACCTGAAGAAGCAAACCCAAAATGAAGGAAATTTTTTATACTTTTCATAAGTTCTTCTGCACTACAAATTCCAAAATCATTAATTCCTACATGCACTAAAAAAGATAACGTTTCTCCATACTAACACTTAAACTGTTGACATGCCTCTATTTTAGTACCTAGCAATCAAATTCTAGTCCTAGTCTTTCTGTGGTTTTCACTACAGTATGAACAATTATATATATATATATATATATATATATATATATATATATATATATATATATTATTAATAGAATGTATTCTACACAACAATTAAATTAAGTTT